CTTCCCAAGGCCGCCAGACAGCCTGTTAACCTCTGAACCTCTCGGATGGTACGAGGCGACTGCATGTCAATGACCGCCTGCACCTTCTCAGGGTTCTCCTCTATTCCTCTCTGATTGATAAGGAATCCGAGAAATTTCCCAGACTCAACTCCAAAGATACATTTCTTGGGATTGAGCATGACATGGTGCCGCCTGAGTGTGGCGAAAGTTTCTCGGAGGTCCGACAGATGATCTTTCTGAAGTTTAGATTTGACAATCATATCATCAATATATGCCTCGACATTTCTCCCAATTTGATCAAAGAACACAGTGTTTATCATTCGCTGGAAAGTGGCCGGGGCATTCTTAAGACCAAACGGCATGACCGTGTAACAGTATAACCCCTGATCAGTGACGAAGGCCGTCTTCTCCTGATCTTTCTTCCATAAAGGAATTTGATGGAAACCAGAGTAGGCGTCCATAAAGCTGATCAAAGCATGGCCGGCTGTTGAGTCGACCAGGTTATCATATTTAGGCAGAGGGTAACTGTCTTTGGGGCACGCCTTGTTTAAGTCTGTGTAGTCTACACACATTCGCCAGGTGCCATTCGGCTTTTTAACAAGCACCACATTTGAAACCCAGTCTGGGAAGTAACATTGCCGAATGAACCCTGCATCAAGTAATTTTTTAATTTCGGCGGCTGCCGCCTGACTTCTTTCTTCGCCATGGTTCCGCTTCTTCTGCCGTACCGGCTTCTTTTTTGGATCCACGGCCAGTTTATGTACCGCCAGATCAGGACTAATGCCTGGCATTTCGTGGACTTCGAATGCAAAGATGTCCTTGTATTCTTTCAATAGTTTGTGAAAGTCGTCACCCAGGACTCTCAGAGCAGTCGTCCCAACTTTGACTGTTCGGTCAGGACGTGAGTCGTCTAAGATCAAGTCCGTGTGCTCACCAGCCGGCTGAGGGCGGAATTCATCCGACCGCTCCTCTGCCAATGATTGCTATTTTCTGTCTTTTCTTGCGGCCCCCGTCTGGGATGCCTTTCTCTTCTTGCCGCCTGCTTCTTGAACAGGCGCACTCTCCTTGACATTGTCAAGGTCTATTTTTCCAACACTCGACCCAGTGGCCATAACAGTGGGCTTGACATCCGAGAGATAGCACTCTCGGGCCATCCTCTGATCTCCCCTTAGGGACCCGACTGTTCCATTATCCCTCTCAAACTTGAGCAACATAAGAGATGGGATTATAACAGCCTTGGAATTATTCAGGGTTGGTCGTCCCAGAATCATGTTGTAGGCCGAGAGTTCTTCTACTACCAGGAACCGGACTACCATGTGTCGTCCTTCCCCTTTTTCGCCCAGGCGGATGGGTAAATCCACTCGTCCCACTGGGTGGACGACTCCTCCTCCAAACCCTACTAAAGGGTGGGATGCCGGATGTATGCAATCAGTCTGATATTTTAGTTTCGACAGACATTTGCTACTGATGAGATCTGAGGAGCTTCCGGTATCTATGAGGATTCGGCCAACTCTCTGGTTGGCCACTTTACATTCAATAACGATAGGGTCGTCATGCGGCCCTCTTACCCCTCCTAGATGTTCTTTAGTGATGACAATCTCAGGAAATGAATATTTGGAGGGCCGTTCTTGGTGAACGGAATTTACATCTAACCGTCTGATATTGTCTTTGTTGCCCCTAATAGTGGGGCCGCCTCCTGAGAAGCCGCCTGCAATGGTGTAGACGACTGCATCATCTGTATCGGAACTGTCGGCCTGTTGATTCTTTTTGGCCGACTGCTTTTTTGAGGAAGTGTTCCCCGTAGATTTCTTGACATAAGTGTCAAGATCACCTTGCTCAGCCAGGCGGTTCAGATACTGCATGAGACTGATGCATTCATTGGTGTGATGACCAACATCTTCATGATAATCACAGAATTTTTCTTGGTTCCGACTGTTTGCAGAACCCTTCATGGGGACCGGCTTCTCAATTGAGATCCGTCCCTTTATTTCCTTTAGGATAAATTGGCTATCCTTGTTAAACACATACTTTGGGGAGTGTTTGAATTCTTTTTTCTTCTTCTGGGACGGCTGTTTAGAGGAAACAGTTGCCCAGACCTCTTTTCTCTTCTCGTCTTTGTTTGACGACTGCTTCTGTCGTCCTTCTCTTTTGTCGGACCTTTTCCCGTCTGACTGTTTTACCGTACTACAAAGATCAGTTGCCTGTATATAGGCTTCCGCTTCAATCAAGGCCTCTTGAAGAGTCGCCACCCTCTTTCGGACCAAATCAAATTTGAAGGTCGACCCGTCTTTGAGACCTTTGAAAAAGTCAGTATAGGCTACTTCATCCGGTAACCCTTGAATCTGTATTCTCATCAGGTTAAACCGCCTGATGTAAGAACGAAGCCCCTCCTTCTCGCCCTGCTGAATTGTTCCTAAATCAAGGGTCGTCTTCTTCGCAGGGATGTTCATGGCGAAGTTGGAGGTGAATAAGTAAGCAAGCGTCGTGAAGTTATTTACACAACCAGTCGGCAAGTTGCCGAACCATTGTTGTGCGATTCCTTTGAGAGTCGCTGGGAAACACTTGCACCAAGTGGGATCATCCAACCCTTGAAGGTACATCAGGTTGGTGAATGCCATCAGATGGTCTTCTGGGTTAGTAGTGCCGTCATAGGCGCCTACTAATACATTTTTCACTTTGGCCGGCTGAGCGGCTTCAGTAATTTCCTTGGAGAAGGCCGACGGCTGTTCACCAAGTCTAAGAAACCGTAGCTGCCAGTCCATAGGTTGGACATTTTTTGCTGCATGTCCACCAAACGGAGGTGGCTGTAAAAAATATTGTTGCTGCGGTACAAACAGTAAGTTTGGTACCGCCTGGTCGCTATGAAAGCCGGACTGACGGGAGGTGCCGCCTGACTAACTCTCATGATACGACTGAGTATGCCTCATCGAGGTATTTCGCAGACTGTCTTGGAAGTTTGAAGTAGAGGTCGACTCTGACAATCGGTCACTCTTCTTCTGCTCTAGCAGTAGCCGAGCGTCTGTGTATGTTTTTCTCGACCCGTCCGCCTGAATATGACGAACAGGTTTCCTATTTCCTGGAGTAGGAAAACGGTATTTTGTGAATTCAAGGGCAGGTGGCTCCCACTTCCTATATTTAGGATGAGGGGTCGCCTCTCGCCCTTGAACTGGTTTCCTCTTCAGTGAAGTGGAGGGTTTCTTAGCCGACTGCTCCTTGCCCAGAGCAGGCGGCTTCTTGTTGATCAACTCTTGAATTTCTCCCTTGAAGTCCCTCATGAAGGTCATGAGTTCGTTCCTTGTGATGGGAGCAGACCCATTAGTCGGCTGCTGCCGAACAGGCGGTGCGCCTGCTGGCTCACTTCCAGTTTGAAGAAGTTCCCGTTCCCTCCTTTCGGTATGACGGGTACGTCGGGCCCTTAGGGTCCCGTCTGAAGCTGTGTGAGCTTCAACTTCAAAGTCATTCTCAGTATCGTGGTCCGACTGAACTTGAGGGTCGTCTAGGGGACGCCTCTCTTCAGGAGTCGGTACAAACGTGGATGCCATCTCAGAAGTACTCTCCCCACAGACGGCGCCAAAATGTTTCGGGGTTTTCTGATGTCCTGCGGGAGAGTTCCAATTCCGAGACTGGAACCGGACGCCTGTACCTGCAAAACAACGGAGACTCCTGGTGGTGGGAGCTCCGCCTCCGACGGTCAAGTTAGTACTTGATTAAGGAGTAATTAATGCGGAAATTAAAGTGATTGGGTCTCTCTAGGTGAGAGTGTTTAATGTATGTAATCTGCTTTTTTAGCGTGTTCCCTCCCTTAATGAGGATTAAGGGAGGTATTTATAACCTCGGGAAACGTGCCAATCTAGGTTTAGGTTAACCTTGGGCTGATTGGGCTTCCCTCGGAAGTTGGGCCTAGGTGACCGGTTATCCCAGGTGTCATGGGAAGGACACGTGTCGTGTCGTAATTGGTCCATGGTGGACGGATCATTGCTTGACACGTGGCAGGCTCCTATTGGCCCATGTGACGGACACATGGCGGAACCTGATTGGTCCACTTGTCAGATGGTGATTGGTGGGGAAAAATCCCCTAATCAGATCCCGCGCCCGCGGCCATGAGAAAATGTGGAGAGCCCTCTCCATGGGACTTGAAACTCCTTTGCTTGGCTCTTTTTGCTCCTCTTGAATCCTTTGCACAAAGCTAAGTCTTTAGGCACCTACAAGAGAAACCAAAGAGAGAAAATAGAAGAGAAAAAGAGCAATAAAAAAGGAAAACACGAAGAAAAGCACATAAAGGAAAGTAAAACACGAAAGAAGAAGAAATTGAGAAACTAGAGGAGAAATGATCAAAATGGGAAAAGAAAAGCATGAAAAGCATAGTGAAAATATCCTAAAACACTACCCTATGAGTGCCATAAATGACACTCATCAAATTCCAATCAATTAAAACTTGTAAACAAATGCGAAAATCAAGGAATTAGAAGGAAAGTGTGAGAGATTACCTACAGTTGTCTTCAATTGCTTGAATTCTTCAATCGGATTTTTGACTGTTATTAAAGGGAAAGGAATTAAAGAGGAGAGGAGAGAGGAGAGAGAAAAGGTAGTTGGGGGGGGGGGAGTAAATTGGGTGGGAAAGGTTAATAGTGGGCCCCATTAACGTGAAAATTGGACGGAAAACGTTAATGGGTAGTGCTATCCAAACGTTTTCTATCTTGCGGATAGTTGTAAACAATTTAAAAAAAATGGGTAGTTATTAACAAAATACCCTATCTTACGGGTAGTTATAGACAAATTTTCCTTAATTTTTAAAAATTTGTGGTAGCATTAGTGATTGACCTGATTGTTAAAGCACCACAGCTATACAGCAAACATACTAAATCTGACGGACCACGGTGAATCAAGAAGAGCGGGGAAATCCTCTAAACCGTCAGATCCAAAAACTTGAGGGTTTTAGAATTCCTGCAACTTTTCGTCTGCAATAGTCTTCCCCAACTTTATATATATCTTCTTCCCTCCTACAATCCCTTTTCTCTTTTCTCTTTTCTCTTTCCTCTCTTCCTCCCTTAAACCGCTCTCTACATCTAGAAAAGCGGATTTATCTCCGAACTCCTGGGAAGTTTATCAAGATCTACTCCTCTTTTAAACTTTGTATTCCTTGATTGGAGTTTTCTCAGGTTTGTTTTTTTATGTTCTCTGGGTTTTTAAACAAATTTATTATTAAATTTTAATTGATTTTCTTAGATTTTAAATTTTTTTTTTCACTGCTCCGTTTTTCCTAATTTTGAGTTTTGAATTTTACCCAAGTCGTAATTTTGATAACCAAGTTCTGGGTTTTAGTCAAACCCCATGAATTTTCCTGATCTTAATTTTTATTTTAAGGTTAATTTGATTAAAGATATTTTTTTGATGAACTTTCTGGATTTTGATGTGGTTCCCTCAGCTTTCTCATGTTCAAATTCCTTATCAGCTAAGTAAATTTCGTATAGAATTTTCTAACTCTTGATTTTGATTTTTAATTATTTTGTCGTTGTCATATTATATGAGCATAAATTTTTATGTTTTTAAATTTTATTAACCATCCTTTTCAAAAGCAAGAATCTTTTACTTTCCTTGATAAGTGATGCAGAATAAATCCTCTCTTATTGCCTTGCACTAACTTTCTGTTTATTTTTTTAAGTAATACTCGGCATATATTAGTGAAAGCGACATTTTTGTGCTATTATTGTTTATTATCTTCAGAATTTTAGTCAAATATCTAAGGAGACGCTACATACAAGTATATACTAAAGAAGGAAAAGGGTTGTTTGTTTAATAATCGGTTTTACTATATACAAAGACTTATTTCTCAGTAAAATTTTGCCATCTTGTAATACAGGTGATAAATTGGAGGAAGGATGGTTTGTGAAAAGCCGACCGAGCTATGTATCCTTTTCGTGTATGAATGTGTTTATATCTGATGCTTTCTGTGTGTCCATGGCAATTTTTCCCTTTGTTAATCAGTTAGTATTGATTATTATAGTTCGAATGTTTAGCTATACCTACGGTTATGAACTTTTGGGGCGAGTAGTGAAGGGTAAATGATGCTTAAATTAAGTTTAAAATTTGATGAAAGAACATCCATGTTATTGTTGATTTGGATTTAGTTCGATTTTATTCTTGGCATAGCTTACTTTTCAGGATTCAGTTTGATTTTATATCAGTTGAAACATTTCTTTTATCACGTTGCCGATGCATAAAATCAATTGAAATTGTCTTTTATTATACTATTAAAAAAAAATACTAATATTTGAATTTTTATTAAGTACACATTGAAAGGAATCTAAAAAAAATCACACATGACTACATTTTTTAATATCTATAATTTACAAATGTTAGTCAAAGTAAAGTTAATGAAAAGTGTATAAGTCAAAACCGTGTCAATTAATTTAGAATGGAGGAAATACTTTTATCGTTGATAAATATCCTCTATTTTTAAGCCTTGTTATTGTTGATGTTTATCCTCTGATTTGAAATTTACTTTTGGGATTTTGCTGAACGAGTGTTGATTAATTGAGAATTTGAGATTATTACGCATATGGATGTGGCGTGCTTAGTCAGTATCCCTTGTTAATTTAGTAGGATGCTACTCTTGCTACTTCAATCCTTGACTCTGATCCAGCTAAAGGGGCGGATTCAGGTTCAATCCTTTCCAAACCTGCAGAAAAGGCTATGGTATGTTAAATTTATTTTGGTATCTATGATAAGATTATTTTAAAGTTAACTGTTTATTTCATTTTTTCCCCAAGTATTTAGTTTCATTCAGGAGATTACTATTGGCCATTGCTGAAAAGAGATGGGTCTAGGGTAGGTTTTTAAGCCCTTTCCGTATAATTGGGGTTAGTTATTATGTATACCAGTATATTCTATGAAGTATCTGTGACACAATCTACTAGGCGGATATTCGATGAAACAATAGAGTAATCTCAATTGAAGTTCCTATAATCTTTTAAGTGTTTAGATGGATTAGTGCTGCACCATATTCTAAATACTGTTATAAGCTGCATTTGTATGTGACTGTTTAGATTCTTTTGTTTGCTGTCACTCATAGAATAAGAACTCGGCCGTTACGTCACAATGTGGCTGAGACATAACGGATTTGGAGCCTACCGTGTCACTTCATATGCTTTGCGTGTCTGGTCACTGTTTGTGATTCTGCTGCGGTGAACTTGAACATGAAACACTTACATAAAGGTCTAAAAGACAGTTGTGAATGAGTTAGTAGGACTGGATAATGGTCATGTTATATCTAGATGTTTCATAACCTGCTGTTTTTGTAAATTATTATCTGCATCAGTTGTTTCTTTCTGTATCATCATGTTAAAAGCTTATTTTTGTGATCAGCCATTGTTTATTAATCTTTCTTAAAAAAATAAATTTTTGTGACGAAAGCTTTCTTCTACTAGACTTTTTGTAGTTAGAATGGTATCAAGTTGTGTAATCCTTGAACCTTGGTTTTAAAAAGCGTGCCTCGCTCCCTGGGAATTGGGCTTTAGCCAGGCAAGGCTCAGTCACCTACGGAAGGCGCGCGCCTCAGAGCGCCTTTGCGCCTCAAAGAAAATAACTATTAAGTTATAAATTGAAGAATGATGGACATTTTTTTCAAATTCAGACTACCTTAGCTTTACATATATCATTATTTAATTTATTATGAATCTTTTAATTGTTATTAAGTACAATCAAACTAAAAATAATTTGAATAGATATATAAATACATGCGCCTTGCATACAAAAGGCGCGCGCCTTCTCCTTGCGCCTAGGCTGCAAGGACCATTTGCGCCTTGGTGCGCCTTGCGCCTTTTAAAACTAAGCCTTGAACCCCCCTCCCCTCCCCACCCCCCCCCCCCCCCCCCCCCCCCCCCCTCCGCGGCTCAAGCTTTACTGTTTAGGAAAGTTTATGAAAGTAGACCCATTAATCATTGCTTGGCATTCTCTAGGTTGCATCTGACAATGGGATCAGTTCTGATTACACCACTCCTAATCAGGGTGCCTCCAGTGTCAAAGGTGAGACTGGTCAAGAGTCAGTTGCAGGGCAAGATGTGTATAATCCACCTCCTAGCTATTACAATTATTATTATCCAGGTTAGATATTGACAGCTTTTTATCTTAAAATTTACTTTGTTGAATTTTTTTTTATTTAATTTTATATAACATGCTCTCTTGCTGAAATGCTATGCTGGATAATAAGTTTGCTACTAACTGTTACATCAGTTGCACAAACTAGGAAAATTGCATACATTATGCTTGGATCATGCACAAAATATAAATATAATATTGTGTTTGTAATGCTATATGTTGAAGCCTTGGCCAGTTGGCCTAAGTATATTGAATTATTCGTCAACTATGCAAATGTGGGAAAAGGTGTCCAAATTATCAATAAAATATGAACTGAAAAGATATACAAGGAGAGAAACGAGTTAGATTTAGCCACCACCCTGTATGCTCTTCCTTTTGAAATATTAGTTTTGAAGAATTGTAATATCAGTTTATTGAATATAAGTTCTGTTTTTCTTTTTACTTTCTTTTTTGTTCTTCGCTCTCTTTTTTTTGTATCACACAATGTGTGTGAAACAACTCACATTCCTCTTTGATTGCCGTTACAAATCCCATTTGAGACCAAAAGACGTTTTGTCAACATGGGACTACTCTCCCGACTAAACTTGTGTTTCTATTAAATGAAATGAAATGAAATGACAACTAATCTCCTCACTAAACTTGTGTTTCCATCAATTGATATGAAATGACAAACCCCATGTTATCACTTCCTCTTTTATTATTATATATTGACATTAATCTGGTTTATATCTATTCTTGGAGCTTCTTGCTTTTTTATTTTTATTTTTTTTCAATAAGATAATATATCTTCCCTTCAATTTTCACTCGTTTGAAATCAGATTAATTCATGAATATTTCTATAAAAAAAAATTATTTTCACATCATTCACAGTTCATGTAAATGATGACATTGCCACTCTTGCCCCATATGTACATACTTATACAATAGTTGGGATTATTCATGTGTAATGATGACATTGCCATTCTTGCCCCATATGTAAATACTTATACAATAGTTGGGATTATTCATGTGTAATTTCTGATTAAACTTTGTAATGTTAGTAATATTTATGTTCAACTCTCTGTAAGTTTAATCTAGCAATCTCTATAAATGATAAGCATGATGCATTATTTGGTAGATTTTCTTGACATGTGAATTGTTTATGCCTCTGATGTGAGTGATTGAACATCAGAATAGAGTGAAGATATGTATATCTTAATTTGGCTGGCATAAACTGCCAAAGTTTGCATTGATGCCATGGTATACCCTAGTGGCCAGTAGCTTTTCAAATTGTATTTTGTAGGGAGCTTAACTGCTTAAGTCCTCTCTTGCCTTTAGATAAGCTGTGCAAAATGCTTTTGTCATTAACTACAGCTTAATTACCAAGCTTGTCCTTAAACTTGTAGACCAATGTATTTTATTTCGTTTCTCACCCTTAATGTTTTCTTGTCACTGCATATTGTACATTGTTATGATGTACATCAATATCTTTATTTGTCCACTTTGGTACTTAGAATATGCCTACTGTTGATAGTAATAGTTAGTATTGGATAAAATGTTAACAGAATAGTTTCTCTGTGCATCTAAAGAAATATAAGCAGTGGATCTGTCAAATAAGAATAGATTGAAAATAAGAAGAAAAAAGTTCTTGACTATCAATGGAGTTTTTCCCTTTTCATATAAATGCTCCATCCATTGCTTTCTTCCTGCACTCCCAACACACACATTAAAATACAGAGGAAGTTTGTTTGACATTTATAAACCTTTCTATTGCAGGCTACAATGGGACTTTTGGTCAATCAGATGATGGCAGAGATCATTCATCTATGGTAACTCAACAAAGACATTTAAACTTAATTTGTGAACTGATTTTTTTGAATGCATTTTCCACCAAATATTTACTTATTTGGGCATTACCCACCAAATTGGGATCTGATGGTTCTCTCCCTCATGTAGCATTCTTTTGCAATGCAGGGTGTACAAACAAATCACAGCTCAATAGCTTATTACATGCCTGGCTATAATCCTTATGCTGCTGGAACTTTTGTTGGGGCTGATGGGCATTGCGTTAGTCAGCCATTTTATACACCAGTTTCTACCTATGGGGCTGAAGTGCCGCCTTGTTATGCTTGGGATTTAAATTATCTTGGAGATCCCTCAACTGGGTCAAATGCTGCCCCTGGGAATGTCAAATCGAACCCCTCTCCTGCTAACGTAGCAAGGTCAAATGGCATCAAACCTTCAAAATTATATGGATCCTTGGGCAAGCACTCTTCGACACCTGTAAACTCTAAATCACGTCCATCTGTTGCTGCGCCTAATGTTTCTCAGCCCAAGTTCGACACTGAACCCACTAAACCATTGAATAAGGTGCATAACACATTGCCAACATTAGAAAATTTTCGGTATGCTTTGACTGTGAATTCTGCTATAGCTTTTGCCCTAGTTTCTTTACAAATAAGGTGTTTGGACCTGCTTTCTGAACTGGTTAGCTACAAAGGTAGCATCCTTCAGGTCAATTAAATAATTTAAGTGAAATTTGTCAGTGGTTTTATGACATTTTTAAATGGATCCAATCACCCTTTTAACTCTGAGCCACCGTGTTGAGTTGATTCTGTCTTTTCTCATGGTTGTAGCTTAAGCTTAAATCCTATTTGCTACTGTCTTTAATGTTATTCTTTCAGTGTCATTCACTGAGATTGAATCTGTCTCTTTTCTATGTTTGCTCAGTCAGGTTCCTATTTTCCATCAGCTGGGTATGCAAATGTTTACCATCCTGCCGGAAACTATCAGTCTTTATCTTTCCCAAAACGAGGTGTGTTTGGAAATACTGGTCCAATGGGCTACAGATCAAATGCAAGGATGTGGAATGGAAATGATAAATTTAGACCTAGTAGGAAAAGTGAGTTAGAAATGTCAGCCGAGCTAACATGTGGTCCTCGAGCCAACAGCAAGAGCAATTCAGACTCATCTGAAAAGGAACCATTAGGTTCAGCAGTACAGAGATATACATATAACTTGGCAGAGTTCCAAACAGAGTATGAAGCTGCAAAGTTGTACGTGATCAAATCCTATAGTGAAGATGATGTTCATAAATGCATTAAGTATGATGTTTGGTCTAGTACTGCAAATGGAAATAAGAAGCTGGATGCAGCATTTCACGATGCAGAAGTGAAAGCTAGTGAGACAGGCGTAAATTGTCCAATATTCCTATTCTTCTCGGTAAGTAAAATCAGTACATCTAAAGATCTAAAATCACATTACGATGAATGATTAGGGACTATTATGGATTATTTCAAAAAGTTGTGGTGTACCTCTACCATGTAAGTTTAGACAATTTAATTATATTCTCTTCACCCCTAATTAAAAATCTAATTTTCCTTTTGCATAATTTTTAAGGAGTGAATTAAAAAATAAGATAGTGGGGTTTGGTATTAAAGGTGAATATAAAACACAAGATAGTGGGGTTGGGCTAGTTAACAAAAGAATAAGATAGTGGAGTTTGGTTGATTAAGTAAGTAAAGAAATCGATAAAGTTGAAATCTGAATTTTGTATAGGGAGTTAGGGACAAGGTTTTTGGAAGGAATAAGATTTTTTTGGGGATAGAGGGATCCGTGTTTTTTGTTTTACTTGCAACTCAGCCTTAGTCATGCACTTTTAAGAGGTGATTAAAGAAGTTAATTGAATGATTTTATCAAAATTATTAACACCATGAATAAGGAAGGGTTAGGTATTGTGTGTAAATATTATTTTGATTAATTTGTTTGTTTTCATTACATAATCTTGACCTCAAAGTGCTTGTCGTAAGGCTTTGTTGCAAGTAAATAAAGAGCAAGTATTTCTCATATGCTTAATTTTTAGTACTTAGAGAAAGGGGTAAAATCCTTATTTGCCCGTGATTAGCTTAAGTTGTTGGTTGGGGTGTCATATTTTCTATTATTGAAAACAAGGTGAAGATTATAAAAAAGTTTAGTTTATTTTGGCGCAGAACTGTTGGATGACTGGGATATATACAGTTGCTCTTATAATATAGATCCTTCTCCACTATATAGAACTAATTTCCCCGTCAAAAAAAATAAAATAAAATATAGAACTAATTTACCTAGACTGGCTGCTAATGATGGACATTAGATCTGAGCAGTTTATGGAGACTTTGCATTAACTCGATTTAAATGAATAATAGTTATGCCCCCACTCCTTGTTAAAGTGCTGCATTTCTGACTCAAACCTTAGGTGTTTGTATAACCTAGTCTTGAAGATGTTACTTTGCATTTTTATTTTTTCTGAAAAGTTGTACTCCTTTTTCATTAGCATTGTAATTTTGGTAAAATTTATTAAGCCTTTCGTTTCAAATTACAGGTTAATGGAAGTGGACAGTTTGTTGGAGTAGCTGAGATGACCGGCCAAGTGGATTTCAACAAGAATATGGATTTCTGGCAGCTTGACAAGTGGAGTGGTTTCTTCCCAGTGAAGTGGCATATCGTGAAAGATATACCAAATTCTCAACTGCGACATATAATTCTTGAAAACAATGAAAATAGGCCTGTGACCTACACTCGGGATACCCAAGAGGTAACAAAATTTTGTAAAAATTTAAGTAATGGATTGGGTTTATAGCAATGTCTACATGAATTTTGACCTCGAACTATTTGTAGTTTGCACTATAACCTTTAATTTGATTGCATCTTTTCAACCAGATTGCTGGATGCTGAATTGTGCTTGTTAGTCATTTGTGGTTGTGGACCTTGTAGTGTAGGTTGTGGTTTATAAATGATATATTTCCCAAATTGTTACTTGGAAGTGAATGGTTCCTCTTCTATCTTTCTGTCTGGGGTGTGAGGTTGTCTAATGTAAGGTGGATCACAAGTTCACAATGCTGTGGTAGCTCATGTGTGTTTTTTTTTTTAACTTTTTTCTTCATATAAGCTGTATTGGTCTCTTTTAAACTGTATGCTTGTCTATATGACGATCGACTACTTTCTATTTATCTTGTTTCTAGTGACCCATGTATATGTGTATTAAATTGTTTTAATCTGGCATATTTAATCTTCTGTTCTGCTTCATACCCCACCCAAAAAAACTTTGCGATGATGCTACATAAGTGGGGTGAGAAATCACAGAGGCTTTTGCCAGCGCCTCTGATGGCATGCCCCATTAATGTTTGAGCAATAAGTGAAGAGGCCACCTTTCTTTTCTCTGATTTCTACATCTTAATGGATTTGTAGATTGGGCTAAAGCAAGGGTTAGAAATGCTGAAGATTTTCAAGAACTATCTATCGAAGACATCACTTGTAGATGACCTCGATTTCTATGAAGGCCGAGAAAAGTCCCTGCAAATGAAAAGAAGTAGCAAATCTGGTGGTCATCAGACAGAAGTATTTGGGAATGGAAATTTACCGGTAAGTTCAGCTCTTATATCCTTCAGTTGACTTCTGTTGGTTTTCTTTTTCCATGTTTTATTACTCTGTACTTTATATAGAGCAAGAATAGACGGAACATTTGTCAAAAAAAAAAAAAAAGAAAAAGAATAGATGGAGCATTCTACTTTGTGTTTTGTATAAGTTTTTGGATTTTCTTAATCAACCCTTCTCCTCCAATCCCGAATATAAATAGTGTTTATTAATTTGCTAAAGATGGATACTTAAACTAATAGCTCCTCTGTCTGGTGTTACAGAAGCAGGTGGAGACAGAAGCTAAACGGGGAGAAGAATTGAAGTCTCAGGTGGCCTCTGTTTTGGCTCTTGTCAACCTTACCAGTAACTTATCCCTCAGTTCCGATCCAAAAGTAGTTCTGTAGTTGGTTTATTTCTGTTTTGTGCAATCTTTCTGATAGGGGTGTCTGAGAGTAGTTTGCTTTGTATCTTGGTTCTTTTTTAAAATGGATGCTTTCTTAGATAGGATTTTTTTTTTTTCTTTCTAAAAAATGTTGTTCGATACCTCGATTCTGAATGCGCTGTCATATGATCTGTCAAAGCTTAATGGCTCTTGTCATCCTTTTATCTTCCTTTGATTATTGTTTTCATTTCAACATTATGTTTTTTTTAATACCCCCTTACATATTAGTTGTAAATTTCAAATTTTTTCTTTTTCACAATTAATATTTCAAAGTTATAATTAACGTAAAGTTTTATATGTGGATGGCCACACGGTGTAGCCATCCTTCACGAGGGTTACTTCGTAATTGTTATAGGGGTTACTTGTTCAATTTTACAGGGATTACTTTGTCAGTGTTTTAGTGGTTCTTTAAGAGTTAGGGTCTGTTCTCATTGACTGAGCTGAAGTGAACTGAACTGAATTGAAATGAATATTTTATAAGAGAAAGAAATTAGAAACTAAACTGAACTGAATTTCAACGTAAGAGAACAGACCCTTACTTGGTCAGTATTGCAGGGGTTACTACTATACAATTAACATGTTATAGAAGTTGTATATTTTTTTATTTTATTAATTTATTTTTAGTAAAAGCAGCTATGGGCACAAATTAATATACTACCTCCGTTAAATGTTATATGCAACTTTGGAATATTTTATATTTCACAAATAATACCCTAAAGTTGCATAAAACATTTAACGAAGGTAGTAGAAACTTAAACAATAAGGAGTAATTGGAAGGAACCTCCTCTATGGTTCTATCACACGGACAAACCTCTAACGCATAATTTGCTCAATTACTTTAGAAGACTAAAGTTAGCTGTAAGAATTAAGATTAGCTTCTTTAGAAACATGAACAAAATTAACCTGCTCAAATACCTCCTCTTTTTTTTTTTTTTTTTTTTTCAGCTTTTTTTACCTAACTGTCATTCCTAATTAAGAGCCGTCTCTTTATTTACCCTTTACTCAGTAAATCAATTGTAAGCAATCACTTTTGAGGACGATGACGACTATGTTTCTAGCATCACATTGTATTGCCGTCTTTAGGCCGAGCATAGCTTTTGCTTCGACCACAGCTACATATCAATTTAGTCGAGCTTGTTGGCAAGTAGTTATAATGACCTCCCTCCCGTTAAAGATTACACATACAACTATCGTGTGTGGGAAAATTATTCGTTCAAGTGGGACTTTCTCTCTCTAAAAAAATAAAAATCTACCTTCTCTCCTCAAAACAGAGCCACACCCCCACCTCGTGTTTTCCCCTGCCGTCGGTGACCTGAGTGTCGCTGCTCTTATTAGGTCGCCGGCGAGCAGTCTTTGAAGGGTTGCGCTTGATTAGACCTTGTTTCTCCTACCACTAATCCATACGCTTTGATTTTTCAGAGTATAGGTAGGTTAGGGTTTCAATTGGGGGTTTCTTCTTTGGTACCTTTGGCGACTTGTATCAAGGTTCACATATAGTTTGGCGTTCCCTTTATGCCACCAGTTATCTCTTTGTCCCGTCGGTGAAGACGAAGTGGAGTTCGGGTTTCCTTCATCGCCGACCTGCTATCTTCTTGGTATGGTCTGTCCTTTTGTGTAATTAAGGGAAACCCTAGTTGTTTAGGTTAGCTTTGTCTTTGGTGTTTTCATATGTTTGTTTAAGTTTTAATGGCTAGCTTTGAGGAACTAAGGGGGATATTGTGTATTTCACATGTTGAAGAGAATGACGTCTCTTCTCATTGGTTGGAGTTTTTAGTTAGGCAGTTGGAGAATCCTTTTGGTATTCTCAATTTTGTTAAGGGTTTAAAAGATGAGGGAAGCAATTTCTACAAGCAAACCAAATAGGGGCTGCTATTGCGAAATACTCTCTTGCTCTAAATATATTGTCCTTTGCTTCAGTTTGTAGTGATGAGGATAAATTGTTGTTTTCGAGCATAGCTGTGTCCCTTAATCTAAACTTGGGCGCTTGCTTCATCAAGGTGAAAGATTATGACAGAGTGGGTAAATTATGTTCAGCGGTTTTGTGTTTTGATGCTACTACTGTGAAAGCTTACTTCAGAAGAGTGATTGTTGCGTTAGAGCTTAATAAACCTTCCTTAGCTTACATAGATCTTGCACAAGCCCTTAAATTAGATCCTAAAAACACCGAGTTCCAATAAAAACTAAAGGAGGTGATATCCTTATTGGGTTGGACTCCGGATTTCGTTGATGAGGTACTTGCAGTAACAAGGGAGAATGATAGGTTTAGAGATTATGTTCATCCGAGGAAAGAAGATAATAGTAAGAAGTTAGGAAAAAAAAGGGAAAAGAAAGGTAGGAGATGGTCGTGGTGATGGTGATGTTCGAAGGTGTACAGGTGTGACAGACAACGAACTCCAACTTGGAAAAGAATGTTGATGGAAATTCTTTGGTTTGGAGGGTAAAGTCAACCCTACCAACCAAGATCCTAGGCCCAACATTATAGATAACAATTCTGTCCTGAAGGGAACTTCAGAAACAAAAAATTCAAATCTTTCAGGGTCAAGTTTTCGGTTTTCAAGCCGGGAGCGATATGATTCCTATTTGCATCTCACTCCAACAATGTATGGAGCGATTTCCAAAGGGCGAACAATAAAATACTATTGTTCTTCCCAAGAGAATTTCATTACCATCCGAGTAGCTAATCCTTTGAGAAAGATGGATAGTGGAGAAACTCAAGAAGGTTCTACACCAATGGAGCTTAGTCACCCCCGTGTGGAAGGGCACGACAGTTTTGAAACGACTCCAGATTTGATGCATGTAGATCCAACTATAGGTATTGCAAGTCAAGAGTGATCATGTGAAGCTACGTCGACATTCCTACAAATTCCACCAGTTTCTTTCCCTTTGTAGACTCCCATTCACCCAACAACGTCCTCCTCTGAAATTTTTTTGGGTTTTGTCTCATCTTCCCGTCCCAGGTTTAGAAGGAAATATGCCACTCTGCATAGTACGTCTCCCGTATTTTTTACTAACTCTTTCTTTTGCAGGTTAAGCGGCCTAGCATGGTAATCATAGCCAAGCACAAAATCATTCCCCAAAGATAAAGAAGTCAACACATTAGCTACGGAATCAATTTTAGCATTCAAGCTAGGCAAATCAAGTTGATAAATAGAAGAAGAAGAAGAGGAATAGATAATAGGAGTACCTCCCCAAGACATCGGGGGAAAATATTGAGAGAGAGTATAAACGGGAGCATACGGATTTAGTCGAAAATTGGGCGGAGGAGTCCTCTTGAGAGATGGGTGGATAGGCCACTTTTTAGGCCGCCAAGGAAGTGAGGTTTTCAAACACCGGGCCATAGCCTCCGGATGGGGAATAGGACACCAATCGGTTGTCCTTGACACTTTCCAAATATACACATCTTCCTTAGAATCCGCTCTAAGATTTTTTGATTGATCAAAGCATCACTAGGTGAAAAAACAAAATTGGCACCGGTTCAAAACCCCTCAATGCCACCGGTTTTGAACCGGTGCCAAAGTGGGGGGTGCCAATTAGTGTATGAAAAATTCAATGTTTTTGGCACCAGTTAACCGGTGCCAAAGTTCCCAAAAAATCAACTTTATTTTTTGTCTTTTTTTCACTTTAAAATAAAATCTACTAAAATAAATAAGAACAACAAATATAAATCGAATATCAATCATTATAATAGAAAATTTACAATATATAATAAAAAAAATTAAGTTATAGATTAATTACAACATATAAATAAAAAAAATTACAATATAAATGAAAAAAAATTACAATATAAAAAAAAAATTACAATATAAATAAAAAAAAAATTTACAACATCACAATAAAAAAAACCCCATACAACATCTAAATCAATATTCTTGCATCTTGATTCTTCGATTGAAGATCTAAATCCATATACCTGCACCAATTAAAACAACCAAAATAAATCGATTAAAATGATTTAGCTGCGAAAAAAATATAAAAAAAACTCAGAAAATAGAAAAATAAAAAAGAAAATCAGTTAAAAACCCAGAAAAAACCCAGAAAATCAGTTAAAAAGAATTGAACCTAGAAATCCAGTTAAAAAGAAAATCAAAAAATAAAAATATAAAAAAAAAACCCAGAAAAAAATCGATTAAAATAAAAACCAAAATAAAAAATCAGAAAAAAACCCCAAAAAATAAAAAAAAAATCGAATTTAAATCGATTAAAATAAAAAAAAATCGATTAAAATGGGCTAAAACGATTAAAATAAGTTAAAAACCCAGAAATAAAAAAAAAATCGAATTAAAATAAGTTAAAAAATCGATTAAACAAACCATAAAATCGAAAATCACTTAAAAAAAGAAAAATAAAATCGATTAAAATAAAAAATAAGTCGATTAAAATAAAAATAAAATTTGAAAATCAGTTAAAAACCCAGAAAATTAAAAAAAATCGAATTAAAATCAAGAAATTATACCCTCACCTTGCTCATGCATGTGTTCGTGGTGGATTAAACCAAAAAAATTTCGAAGAAACCCATAAAATTTTTTGAAGACACCCAAAAAAATCAATTAAACTCAAAAACTTTGAAGAAACCCATAAAAACTTCGTATAAACCCATAAAAAATTTCGAAAAAAACCTAGAAAAATTAATTTCGAACAAACCCAGAAAAATTTCGAGAGAAAGAGGAGATGAAAGAACGAAAGAGAATGAGAAAGGGATTGAAAGAGAATGAGTGAAAGAGAACGAGAGAAAGAGGAGATGAGAATGAAAGATCAGATGAAAGAGAAAGGGATGAGAGAGAGAATGAGAGAGCGGCGAGAAAGTGAATGAAATAGGGATAGGGTTTGAGTGATTTTATACATGGAATAAAAAAAAGGCCGGTTTTTTTTTTTAAGGATTGGTACCGGTTCAAACCGGTGGGCTTTATTTTTTTTCCACCGGTTTGAATTGATCTGGTGCCATATTTCCTGATTCATTAAGCCGCCAATTTTTTAGCCCATTTTTACCACCGGTTTAGACTGAACTGGTGGCAATTAAGGGGTGCCTTTTTGATTTTTTCTACTAGTGCATAAATGTTAAGGAGATGGTCTGGAGACTTCTCACGGCGGTCTCAGATAGTCTCAAGGGACACAAGAATTCTCTCGTACTTGTTGAGAAAAAGAGCGATGATGGTGATCAATCCTCCCAATTGAATGCTCCCAGAGAGGAAAAAT